GTGGGGTGTGTGTGTTTTATCCTTCAACCTTCTCAAGTCAGCTAAGAATGTAATTTCCAGGAGTCTTACCTTTAAAGGAAAATATGATGCTGTGTGGGCCTATTTAAAGAAAGGAACGGCTTAAACAAGACTTCTTCCTTCAAGAATGCTAAATGATCTCTCGTCAAGTACTGTGGGTTATTACTACCATAGCCATTTAACAAATAAAAACAAATCAAAATCTAATTTAAGAGAGACTATCAGGAGGGACTAGTCCCTGCAGAAAGACATCATGTTTGGTAAAGTAGAGGGTCAGTGAAAAAGAGGAAGACCTTCAAAGAGATGGATTGACACAGTGGCTGCAACAATGGGCTCAAGCATAGCAATGATCATGGGGATGGCGCAGGACGGGGCAGTGTTTTATTCTGTTGTACATACGAGTCAGAACCGACTAGACAGCACCTGACAACAACAACGTAAGTAACCTGGTTTATAGTAGGACCCAGTAATTAAATAAGACAATAACAATACTTACACAGTACTGCTTCTGTCTTTGGTTTATGTGAGGTGCTTACTTCAAAAGTAAAAACAAACATCTCTCTCAAGAGTCCTTACAGCGTCTCTTCACAACAGGGAAGAGCAGGTCTTGCCAACTCCATTTCAGCAATGGGATAATGAGCACACAGAGCACCGACTAACAGCGAAGGCCAGCAGCCTTTGCAGAATGACTACAGCCTCCACCACCCCCGCAGCTGCTGCTGGACCCTAGCACCCCCATGGCCCCTTGTGTGACTCTAGACTAGGGTGTGAATGGACCACATTTTCTTAGTAATGAAAAACTTCTCAGGGATACCACCTGTACTGTTTTCATAACTTCTTAATATAAAAATGGCAAATATGTATGTGGCAAAACACAGCACATGCATATATGTATGTTGTCCTGTGCCACTGACTCAGACTCATGGCGACCCCACGTGTTACAAAGTGGAACTGCTCCATAGGGTTTTCCTGGCTGTGATCTTTACAGAAGGAGGCCTGGTGGCGCAATGGTTAAGTGCTCAGGTGCTAACCAAAAGGTCAGCGGTTCAAACACACCAGCCACTCCATGAGAGAAAGATGTGGCAGTCTGCTTCATGTAAAGATTGTTGCCTTGGAAATCCTACAGGGCAGTTCTACTCTGTCCTATAGGTTCCCTGTGAGTTGGAATCAACTTGACAGCAACAGGTTTAGTTTTTTTTGTTTGTTTGTTTACTCCTTACAGAAGCAGACTGCCAGGGCTTTCTTCCACGGTGCCACCGGGTGAGTTCAAACAGCCAACCTTTCAGTTACCAGCCAAGTACAAACTGTTTGCGCCACCCAGGGACCTATGTGTATATGTATATGTGTATACATATGTATGTGTATGTGTGTATAAATGGCTTAATCTTTGTATGCATATGCCTCCTACATGATATATAATTGGCATTTATTCCATCATTCTTATAAGGCCAATTAAAGATTTTAGAAAACAGACTGTATCTGACTACTCTGATCTATCCACTTGTATACAGAAGATAGTCAACCACAATGTTCCAAAAGGATAACTACCACCACCAGTTGCCATCAAATCAGTTTCGACTCATAGCAATCCCGTGTGTGTCAGAACAGAACCGAGCTCCATAAGGCTTCCGTTTTTGTTTTTGTTTTGTTTTCTTCATTTCTATGTGGCTATTTTTTTTTTAATTTTCTGTGGTTGTTTTTTGAGAATATACACAGCAGAACATACACTAATTCAACAGTTTCCACATGTACAATTCAGTGACACTGATTACATTCTTCAAGTTGTGCAACCATTTTCACCCTCCTTTTCCAAATTTTTCCTCCCCTTTAACATAAACTCAATGCCCCCTAAGTTTCCTATCTAATCTTTCAAATTGCTGTTGTTGAATTTGATCCCATATAGATAGTTCTCCACAGGGTTTCAATGACTGATTTTTCGGAAGTAGATTGCCAGGTCTTTCTTCTAAGATGCATCTGGGTGGACACAAACGTCCAACCTTTCGGTTAGCAGCCAAGCGTGTTAACCATTTGCACCACCCATGGACTTCAAAAGAATAACTACATAATATTAAAGACATAATCACGAGCTGTTTCACATCTCCATCAATCAAAACATGATAATCATTTGATAGACATTATGAGACAGAGATTTAATCTAAAGTAAATAATAGCACTATTTAGGGTACAGTTCGTAAATAATTTGTGGATCCCTTAATTACTTTCTTTAAAGAAAATCTTTCATTAAGTTATTTACATAGCTATTAACTATTAAGAACCAATAGGAGAAAGTAGGGTCTGAGGGTATGAAGAGATCTTAGCTCACGTGGAAAACCAGAAATGGGATGGCCATCAAGATGAATGCTGGACAACTAAAACACACGTATACCAATTTCTAGTTTTCCACGTCTTGCCATCTGATGGAAGGAGGAAGAGCCCTAAACTGCAGAGCTCACAGCACCACCTAACTAACTGCCTCAAAATCATGTTTACTATGACACGATTTGCTATCTACTTAATGAAATGTTTCTATCAAAGCACGATGTTGCGGCAGACAAATTTATAACCATTGTATATAAAATTAAAATCAAATTAGACCTAAGATAATGGAGAGTGCATCTCACGAAAGCCCTTGCCAGCTCCCACGGTGTAGACAGGATCACATGGAGCCAGTTAAAGTCTCTCCTGATCAGCTTCAGAGAAGACGCGGCTTAAGAGGGTGGCTCCCACATCAGCAACCAAAATTTAAAGGCCAAAATAAGCTTTTCTGTTTACCTCTGTGGATTAACTTAATGACAGTCTAGTATTTTAAGTGACTCTAAGTCTTGGTGGTTCTGCAATTTACACTTTGAAAGTAGCCAGCAGTTTACAATTATACATATACCATTTCTTCGACCAAACATTTATATAAAATTAAAATGATATACAATATAACAGCATTTTGAGGATCACATTTTCAAAAGCATCATCAAGGAAGAGAATAATGCAGAATTTAAAACCTAGCTTTGACAACTTAAATAAATTCTTATCTCAGCTTTCAAATGACCATGACTGAGATGATTTTATTGTTTAGTACAAAACATTTACTTCCAAATATTTAGCATTAAAAATTATCTGTAGTGATAAAATGTACAAATAAATACAATTTAAAATTATAGTAAATATTCAGTACAAAAAAAAAAAAATTCTTGTTTATAAAAACCTCATCCTGTCAGTGA